CCTCTGCAGTGTAGGTCCAGGAAGGCCCCTGGGTCTCTCTGCCCCAGCGGCACATTTCCCCCCGCTGCAGAGCATATCTCTTGGGTCCCAAGGCCACGTTCGCAGGGTTAGTGCCAGCGCAGCGGGAGGTGGGAGCCACATCACCTTCCCAGGAGGAGTCGCTTTGCGATACCTGCTTGGTGGGCCCACGTGTGGGGAGCTGAGTGCCGAGGCGAGGTGCCGGGCGGGCACCATGGCAGACCAGCCGTTTCTGCAGCAGCTATCGCTGCCGCGCCATGCACTGGCTGGGTTCAAGATCCCAGCCTGCAGCCCCTGCCGCCGCACCCCGGGCTTGCTCACCCCAGTCACTGTCCCTCGGGCAGACCCTACTCCAGTGTGCAGCCCTGCGTCCTCAGGCACCGCTTTCTTCTGAGCATCCTCTAGTGCCTTCAGCAGCCTGGGGACAAGTGCTGGTGCCAAGGCAATGCTACGGGCCCTCAGCAACCCCCTAAAGTGATCCTTTATCTAGGAGGGCAGAGAAGTAGCAAGACACTTGCAGAAAGCAGCAAACCCCACCTTTGCTAGCATGAGTACTTCAGCAGTGAGCTCAGGAACACGCCACTACACTCCAGAGCAAATGAAACCCTTGCACTCAGGATTTGAGCAACCCCACTTTGGAGTGGGCAGCACTAGTGGGCTAACACCCAAGACAAACAACCCTCCCCAGCACGTACCTATTGCTGCTGTCACACCAGGTGACATCAGTCAAAATGGTGAGTTCGGGGGGGGCTCTGAAGCAGAGCCCCCTTTCTTGGGCAAGGCAGCCAGTCTCACTCCTCAGGACAGCACAGACAGTCTTTCTTGGAAACAAGTAGTGTACGAGGGACAGGATCTGCAGCGGTGACAAGGTGAGACCTGGATCTACTCCATGGAAAACCTCTTCCCTACTGCGAGCTCCGAGAACCGAGCCCTGGAGTTTCCACCGCCGCAGCCAAACACCCACCTTGCACCACCAGCACGAAAGAGACCTGTCCAGTGGCTCTGGCACAAGGCTGTTCCGAGAGCCAGGCTCTAACCCTCACTGCTTGGCTTGGACCCGCGCCCTGGCAGGACCCCTGATCCCAGTCCCTCATCAGCTGCTGGCCTCCAATGCAGAACAGAAATACCAGGCTTGCCTCAAACTGCACAGGGGGTAGGCACAGAGACTGCAGTCAAGACAAGAGGCTGAGAACATCACCCACGGCCCAAGGATGGCATTGGGAAGCAGTGCAGGGCTGTGCCTCACCGTCCGTGGGGTCCAGCCACAGACTTACGGCAGTATCCTCCCTCGCGCTCCGCACCCTCCTCAGGCACAGGCAGGCCTTGGCCCAGCACAGGTAGTACAGTCATTTCTGGGAGTCGTGCTCAATGACCACAGAGAAGCGAGCTTCTGCCTGCTGGTACTGCCTGTGAGGGGACAGGAGTGAGCATACTCGGCAGCCTGGCTTGCCACCGGCCCTGGGGCAGATGGCACCAGCCTAGCATGCCACCAAGTCTTGCCATCTCTGCTTGTGTAGTGCTGTTGCAACCTATCTCTGCACAACACAGTCCCCCGGGCTCAGCTCCAGCACCTGCTGGTAATCCGCTAGCGCATAGGCCAGCTCCCCCAGGCAAAGGAAGCAGTCTGCAGTGAGGCAGCATCGGTGCCTTGGTTAAATGAGAGCAGCTGGGGGCTGGCT